TATGTCCATTAATATTATTACCTGCACAAGGAATACCAAATGTCATCTATCTTCTCCCCCGAGGGAAAAGAACTGGTTATCTGTTTGCAATATTCTTCCTCTAGCATTTGAATATGCAGCATGCCGTTCTTTTTTTTTAAGAAATGGAAATTAAACCATCTCCAGGAATTTTTTTTTCTCTTTCTCTAAATTTTCCCATTTGCACAATGTCCTTCAATTAAACCTGAAATCAAGCCATTTTCCCCTCGAGTGGCCATTTTAATATTTTCAAGTTTCCCATGCAGGGAGATCAGAGCAGCAATCTATGCTGGGAGCCCTCCCGGGCCTCTGCAGATGCTCCTGGGCATCAGCACTTCCTGGTGGTGGGTCTGTGGCACAGCCTGGCACACACTGGCCCTCGCCTGTGCCCTTCTCATGTGGCACCTGCCCAAACTCAGGCTTGGGTGCACAGCACACCCCATTCCTGCCTTCTTTACAGCTGCTGGGTCTTGTTCCTTGTCATTCACAATGCCAGGCACACCCTCTCCCCGGCAAAGTTCCCCAGTCCATTCTAGTGCCCTCACGGACAGAACTAATTTACCTGCCCAGCTGCCACCCCTGTGTCTCTGATCGGAGCAACCTGACTGTCCTTGATGCCCTCCCCACAGTCTCTGTACCACAGTGCCCCTGCTCTCTGCATAAAAGCGAAGTCCTGGAGATGCTCTCCCAGGTACACCCACCCTGCCTCTGTATCTCATCTCCCCACCACTCGCTGGGCTCAAGCTGGAGACCTCTCAGTGCTCCTCAAACAAGTCTTGAGTGCTTGCCGTCACAATCTTTCAGTCCAGTCCTGGAAGCCCAGCCACTGCACCACGCCATGTTTCCTTCCCAGCAAGCTCTCCCAATTGCCCTTGCTAATTCAGCAGCTTGCTCCTCTCCTAGCACCATGTCCCCATGCCTGGGCCTCTTTCCCTAAGAACTCACATTCCCAGGCCCTGCCTCACCATGCATGCTTGCCAGGGGCAGGAGCACTGTCCTTTCTGTCCTGACCCCACCGTCCCCTCCCCAGGTTCTCCAGGGAGGGTAGGCTGGGGATTAATACAGCTTGAAAATGCTGGTGTGTCCCTCACTGCATCCTCTGACAACAGGGAAAGGCATGTGGCCCAACCATGTTCAGCCATCTTCTTCTATCATTGCCACCCCCACCACCCCCCACCCTCGGCAGCAGGGAGTGGCCTAGGGGGACACAGACCCACGCCAGGCTGCTGATGCTTGACCTAGGACCCTTCTTGGTTCTACTGAGGAAGAAGCTCCTTTCCCTCTCTGGAGGTGCTGAACTGGTAGGATGTTGGCTCTAGGGAGTAAAACGTCTTCTTATCCTCACTATTGGGCAAATATACACAAGGCTAAAGCTTGGTTAGAACAAAGCCAAGATAGGTCTGGAGAGAAACCATCCTTGGGACCTTTGCATTCTTTCCCTGCTGCTAATTTCCTGGGCTGCTCTTTACTGAGAGTTTACCTCTGGAAATGTGTTTACTCAAGCCAATAAAATCTCTCCCTTTTCAAAAATTTAGACCATTTGAGTTGAGATGAGATGTTGGCAACAGAAAGACTTCAGAACTTCCAGTAAAAATGCTTCCTACCCGGGGAGGTGCCCCTCTCCTCCCAGAACACCAGGTCTTCCCCTTCCTTCTCTCCTTGGCTATACCTTGAATGCCTCTTCTTGATGGCCCCCATCCTTGTGTTGTGATGAATGATTGGCCTTTGTGATTCCTATAAACAGCTGCTTGAATAAATTCGGCCTGTTTCATTCCCTGGGGAAGTTTCACTAGGAGTTCATCCATTTTTCACCACATCCGGCCTAAATACACCTTGGCAATGGCCTCAGAAGCCTCTCCCTATGTATGTGGCCTTCCCTAGGGCTGACCCAGACCAGCCAAGGCAGGCATTTGTTTCTCTACCACACAGCAGCCCACATCCCTCAAGGAAGTGACATTTCAAATACGTTCAGTCAGCAGGCCAAGCCCTGAAGTGAATTAGACCTTCCTTTTGATTAAAAAATACCTTTTATTTCAAACACATTGAATCTAAGAGTGAGTTTATTGTTTTAATACGCTGTTCCATATTCTGAACTTGATTTGATTTTTCAGAGTGAGATGAAAGCAAGACTGGGGATGCAGAGAGAATTTATTTATTTATATTTGTCCACATGGCCCAGTGTCCTTGAGTGAATCACACACAGCGGGGGGTCAAGGCAGTGGGAGGGGTCATGATCATGTAGAATCCCGAGGCTATAGCAGCAGCTCCTGGCTTGGGAGCCCCCATCAGGACTTGATGTAATGATGGCCCCATCCAGTCCTGGGAACCCCAGGGCCCAGCCCTCCTGGCTAGGGCACAGAGCGGCAGCAGCTTTCAACAGAATCAGAAAGTAATTCTGGTGCCTAGCGTGTCCCCGCATGTCTTGCTGGCCACAGATTTTAGGAATCCTTCCCTCCATGCTGGGTATTTCTGGGGGACAACTGGAAGAGATGATGGACACCAACCCCTGTCTCTTCATGGTGATTTTCTTTCTCTGGGAGCAGGAGCATTCATGTCCCACATCATCTACAAATTCCAAAGTACTGTTTTTAAGGCATTCAGCTCTGATGGCTGAGACAGAAGATGGTGGTGAGAACTCAGGTCTCTGCCCCAGGATTCTGGAGACCAATTCTAATCTTGGTTCTGCAGCCTGTGGTCCTTGGAGGGCCCTGAGACATTTTCACCCTGCTCAGGCAGAATGCTGAGCTGAGAGGAAATCTCTGAGACCTTCCCAGTGCTGATATTATCGGCTCCTGTGGGATTCTTTTTTATAGCTCACCATATCAAAAGGAGTGCTCTTATCTGTCCCCTGTATGGAGAAATAACTGGCCCTAACTGATAATTCCATTGTGAAGAGCTGGCTGATCCAGTCTGTCTGAGAATTCCTGTCACTGTTTAACTCTAGTCCTGGCATGGCTGTCACCCCAGATATTGCAGCCAGACTTGTCCTCAGTTGCACCTGGATCTACTGAGCTCTTAGCTCACTAGCATCCTTCAGTTCGCAGCTTCAGATCCTTTCAAGCCCCAGATGTCATACCTGACTCAGTAGTCTGGTATTTTCCAGTCCATCCCTCGTTTTAGATTATCCTGCTGCTTTCTCTGGTTAAGGCTGAGGATATGGGTTCAGGGAGGAGACCACAGGCAGGAAGTGCCCCGCTCCTGCATCCACTGGCAACACATATTGTCCATCATCACTCATTCTGGGCATGTCAGCTTTGATAGCCTACTCAAGGTCTTGTCTACTAGGTTTCTGCCCTTCTCTTTCCCCTCTCCATTGCTTGGAACAAGAGGAAACTTTTGAGAAATTTATTGGATTAAATTAACCAATACAGTTTCCACTAAGCTCTGACAATGGAGGAAATGTACCATGGTGAGTCAGGTGTATTTGGGTGTCACCAGTTTTGCTGCTGCGGGCTCCAGGGCTTGGGGAAAACCCCTGCTTCATTATGGCCACTCCTCTCGAATCTGGGGCTGGAAGCAGCCACTCTGCAAAAGCTAGAGGTCTTCTCACGATCCAAAGCCTATACCTCCAGACATCAGACTGGTCCATATGTCAGTCCCCCATTTTTCTTGAATGCCTCGATGCTCTTCCAAATTTATTGGTTTCCATCCTGGCTCAAAACCTTTTTCTGTATCCTTAAAATATTCTGATCCTCTTCTAGAATTTCCTGGTACACCAAATGGCATATCCATCCCTCCATGCCCACATCCACTGATTGATCTGTGCCTCTTTCTCTCCACCATGCCATCCATCCATCCTTCCAGTCTCCTAAGCCAGAAGTATAGGAATCATCTTGACAATTTATTTAACCCACATAAACCTGGCCAACATAAAATCCATTTTAGGCCATCACAGTTTGACCTCCTATATATTTCTTAATTGATGGACTTCCTACTTTTTTACTCCCACCCCAACATGGGACATTTCCCCTGTTACTTCTTTACTGTGTCCCTTCAGGCTTTTATCATGGCATTTGACACACAGTAGGTCTTATAAGTACACCATGAATAGATGGGAAGTGGAGCACTGGGTTTAGACCACAGGCACTGGCACCAGAGGTTCAGCCATTAGGTCTTCTTGGTGGATTCCGAGCCCCAAAGGGATGCCCTGCATTGGCAATGTGATTGAGGTCCCCTTGGCTTCCTGATGCAACAGTGACAATGAGGGTGGAAGTAGGAGTGGGGTGGATGTAGGGGTGAGGTGTGTAGCGGGTGGCAAGCTAGTTTTCACCTTTCTGAAGGAGATGCATTTCAGAAGTTGCTCGATGCCTCTGAGCAGCCACATGTGCATGCAGATGGACTCTATTAGTTGCTTTACCATACCTGAGACACAGTACTACACACCTGCAATGTAAAGGAGGAGAGGTTTATTTTGGCTCATGGTTAGTCCACATCCAGCAGGCTCCAAAGCAGGAATAGCAAGATGGAAGAGCTTGGGGGAGGAAAACTGCTCGACCCATGGCAGCCAGGAAGTGGGGTTGGGAGGAAAGCTGGAGACAGGGTGTCAGGAACACACTGTGCCAGGCCATGGTCCAGGTCACCCTCCTCCGGCCAGACCCCGCCTCTGAGCAGCACATTTTGCCATGAGCTCACCAGGAGCTGAATCCGCTGATGAGTGCAGCAACCCACCGATCCAATTGCCTTCCAAAAGCCCCACTCTGAAAACACTGGTCTTTGGGGGGCCATTGTAGTTCTGAACCACAATGAGATGAAATCATTTTTATCCTCACTTTCCAAAGATATACACAGAAATAATGCGTATATGTATGCTTCTATAGTTTATTTCTACTAACTAGTCATTGGGAGTATTTGTATATACTAGAAATCTATAAATTATTTGTTTCCTTAAATTATAGAAGGAATATTTATCACAAGCACATATAAATTGCGAGTACATGTTATAAATATGTAATTCCCCTTGCTAACATTTACTGCCCATTTGCTGTGTGCCAAGCGCCGGGCTAAGCACTTCATAGCTGTTATTTTATTTAATCTTCATCGGGATCCCATGGAGAAGATGGAATGCAGTGGTTTTCAACTTTCTCTTTTTAAACGGGTTTTTAAAATGAAACCTCAGTGAACAGAAGACGTGGAAGCTTGACTCTGCTTGCAGAAGACCCAGGGACTTTCTCAGCCTTCCTGCCTCCCTCATGGTCCATGAGAAAGAGGGAGATGTCAATGCTGAACTCCTGGCTGAGACATCCATCATTTGCCATCTGTGTTGTCTGGAGCAAGTTGCCAGATCTCTGATCTTACGTCTCCAAGTGTTAACTAGGAGAATTAAACAAGGTAATGTATTTTTACAAAGAAAAGCCTCCTAGCTCAATACATGACTCATGGTGCATGGTCCATGCTAAATACTCTGTCTTAGGCTGGACTCTCCAGAAACAGACTCTAAAATGACTTGTGGGAAGAGCTCACATAAAAACACTGGTGTTTGGGAAGAAGTGAGCTGGGGTAGGGGAGGAGGCCTAGTAACATGGTGTGGTCGAGCAAAATCTCACTGAGAGTGACTTTGGCTCAATCCGCAGGACAGCTCTTCAGAGTTGTCCAAGTCAGGGGCCAAGGGAGCTGGAGTGCTGGTACTCCTGTGTTCACCAAACGAAGGCTGCTCCCATGCACTCTGCTTTCTGCAGACAAGTGGAGAGAGTGCCAGCTACCTGGGGCAGCCTTCCAACCAAGTGACAGAGAGAGCAGTTGCTGTTGAGACTCCGAGACACAAATGCCAGCATGCCTTGAAATGGAAGACTCTCCCTAAGGCATACAGCAGGGCCCTGACAATGGCTGACACAGCCCTAATAGGTGACAGGCTTCTGTAGATCCTGACACCATTTAGAAGCAGGGGTTTCTCATCACTGCTGCCTTTGCTGGATCCATCCCATGCCAAGTGCACTTGGGGCTCTCCTTTCTGCTGGCTCAGCCATTTGTATGGGCAGCTTTTCTTTCTTTAGACACTCACCTACCAATGGAGAAGAGCCTGTATCTCTGAGCATCCTCAGGTCCCCCTCAGAGCAGAATACCAGGTCTGGGATACATGAGCCACCCCTGTGCCTTCTGTTGCAGATTAGAACAAGAAGAGAGCTCACTCAAAGCAGGTGCACCCAGGGGCAAGGGAGAAATCCAGGCTAGAACCACACATGGGGTGGGAATGCTTTTCTGGGCCCTGCCATGTCCTCAGGTGTTGCTCCATTCTCTGATCTTTACCTCTACACTCGGGAGGTTTTCGCTGTTTTTACTCCTATTTCTGGATGGGGACCTGAGTCTCTGAGGAGTCATGTACAGTCCCCAAGTTAGCTAGGAACCAAGCAGGAATTCCAGCCTGGTCTTACAGATGTCAACCTGCCCTTAGCTTGACCTTAGACTCTAGGAGCCAAGAGAAAACTCACGTATTGCTAATTACCACTGCGAGGAGTGTGACCAATCAGAAAGGTGCCCTCTGAGATCCCCAGGTGTTGACCCTGACCTTGTCCAGATGCTCAGCCTGGAAGCCAATAAAACTTCAGGAGGAGCAGTCCCTTTTGTCCACTGCACTAAACTAGTCCATCCATTTATTTCCAGGTAAACTCCAGGCTGTGGTGTAGAAGCTCTAAATATCACTCAGAGCAAGGATGTGTCTGATGGGAATGTCCCAAGACTGTGCACTTGAGCTCATCCCCTAAATCCATCCATAGTATTAATTAGCCTCACACATCATCTAAGGGCCTTTTCTGCTAATTTAGAAACAGCAATGAACTCTGCTTCTCCCTGGCCTTGGAGATCCAGGACACAAACCTCTTAAACCTCACTATCAAAGCCACACCGATGGATGAAAGGAACTGTAGTCTGTGGGTGACACTGCCACACACTAGGGAGAACCTTAGCCTCATACTCTACTGGCCTCAGAAGGAACCCTACACACTGTGTCTTTGAGCACAGAGTGGGGTTTTCCAGCTGGAAAGACAAAGATTTCTTCCCAGTGGCATGATAGTGTTTTCCCCATGGAGTCTTTAAAAATTAATTTTCTGTACCTCAGTTTCTTCAGCTGTAAAATGAGGATTTGATCCTTATAAAACCTTACTCATCTTACACAATGGTGGTGAGAATTAAATGCGGTAAAGTATATGTAATGTTTAGAAGCGTGCTTGGCACATAGTAAGCACAGAAACGATAATGTAAGACCTTGGGTGTTCCAAGTTTGAGTTCCTGCTTGTGCCTTACCCTCCCTCTGAGCTCCCACTGGAACTATAGCTGACATTGGTGTTCCAGAACTTGCTAAGAATTGAAGCACTGGATCAAAGTGGTCACTGCCTGTCTTAGTTACTTCCTTATGGCTGGGACAAAAGGCCTAATACCCACAAGTTACAGAAGAGGTTTATCTTGGTTCACAGTTTGTAGAGGTTTTAGCCCGTAGTTGGCTGGTCCCAAGGCAGGGTGGCATGGCTGAGGAGAAAGAATTCATTGCAGGTAGGAAGCAGGGAGCCTTCATTCCCTTTTTATTCCGTCCAGGCTACAGGCCTATTGATTGGTTCCAGTACACACCCCAGGGGGTCTTCCCTCTTCAATGAATCCATCATCCACATCCAGAACTACACTAAACCAATCAGTGAACTAATTTACTACTTTATTACACACCCATGATCCAGCATCACACATCCATGGTCCATCCACCCCCTAAAGTACACACCTACGAGGGCCGGAGCCTTGGGGGGGGGCATCCACATAAAAGCCACAGCACTTCCTCCGTAGTGTCCTGATCCATCTCTTGCTTCCTTTCACCCAGCCACTGTAATTCCTTGGAATTCTAACCCAGGTAACTACCTTCTTTGTAAGGCCCTGCCGAGCCTAGCCTCTAACTACCTCTCCACCTCTTTTCTAATCGTACTCTGCTTGCTTTGCGCTTTTGCACAAATTGTGCTCTGTGTAATTCTGGGTCTTTGCACCCAATGACCCCTTCTCTGAAACTCTCTTAGCTACTGAGCAAGAACTCACTCAGTCCTTTCATTTCTGCTTTAAGCTTACCTCATCAGACAGGACAAGATGACCAGGAGATTCAAAATATGGCTTTCAGTAACAATTGCAGAGAGCCGGGTGTAGTGGCGCACGCCTGTAATCCCAGCACTCCGGAGGCTGAGGTAGGAGAATCGCTGTGAGTTCGAGGCCAGCCTGGGCTGCATAGTGAGTTCCAGGTCAGTCTCAACTACATAGTGAGACCCTGTCTCAAAAATCAAAAAGAAAGAAAAAAAACAATTGCAGAGGAATGGAAGTTAAGCGCTTGGAAGAAGCACCGGGGAGGGAAGAAAGCACAGGGATTGGATTCATCAATGCTTTTAAGGGCTGAAAAAGGGAAAGAGGCTTTGTGAGGTATCTGGGAAGCTGCAGAGGGAGGCACCCCTTTCAGCCTGGCCTGGGGAAACACCCCAGGGCTGGCTGGACCTGGCAGCTGGCCAGAACAGGAGGCCAGGGAAGTGCTGGGCAGACACTCTGCCACTTCCATTGTGTAGATGAGGCTGACTCCGCTGTAATCGTGGAGTTTCTGTGTTACTGGACTTTGTTCCTGGGCATTGTGTCTGCAGAAGTCCTTGGTGAGAATGTCAGTGACCTTGGAGAGGGTACGTCCATGAGCTTGTGATCAGACATCTCAGCTCCTCCTGTCACAGAGACTTGGGAGCATGTGGCTGAAGACGCCTTTGTTCCCTAGGCCTTAAGGTCTTTTTGCACTCATTAAAGCAGAAATTGAGATATTTGGCTTCAGGGTTTTTATAACACATCAAATGTCTGATTGAGGGCACATTGGTGCAGGACCTTCCTAACCCCAGCCTCTCTGTAGAGGGCTCCCATGATGTATTGGGATGTACTCTCCAGGACATGTTCTTGTGCATGCAGTGTTCAGAACTTACTCATTTTTATATCCCTGGTTGGGTCCAGGTTCCCTCTGTGTGTGTGTGTGTGTGTGTGTGTGTGTGTGTGTGTGTGTGAGAGAGAGAGAGAGAGAGAGAGAGAGAGAGAGAGAGAGAGAAGCACGAACCAAATAAGCAAACTGTGTGGATGATGGTCACATACTCCTTGAGGCCTTTCACCCTCTGGTCCTGGATGATATCTTGAGTGGGTTCATATGCTCACCAAAAAACAGAGCAGGTCTTCCTACATCCTTTAATTCTGGAATTAGAAACCCCACACAGCCCAGTTCTTTCATTGGCCTTGGTGGTGAATTCATTCTTCCCACAGACTGGGTTAGCTGCAGGTGAATCCTATGGTGACAAACAAGAATGTGGCCAGCTTCTCTCCTCTCTTTCTGCCTGGTTTTGCTGCCTTTTCTTACTTCTGTGACCAATTTCTGATGCAAGCTAGAAAAGAAGTAGAAATGCACATAAAGAAGGCTCCCTAGAGCTGTCTCCATCAGAAGCTGTGGTGTTGGCCAGTGTTCACGCTTTCTTCTGTGCTCTCCAGGGGCCTCCCATGGCCCCTGCCAACTGACCACATGGGATGCATCTCCTTCGCATCTCATTCCACCTGTACGCCCTTTTGTAGCCCCTCAGTGATGATCTGCAGATTCCTGCTCCTGGTCTTTCTCACCCTCCACTGAGAAGGCCAGGGTGTTCTCTTATTCTTCCAGGCTGGCAGAATCACTGTGTGACCAGAGGGTGCATCTGGCTTCCCTTGCTCTCCATGGAGGATGTGCCTACATGGGGCAGTCTAGGCTCTGCTAGGGCACTTACTCATTTTCTCTCATTTCTCAAGAAGAAAATGTCCCTGTCCCCTGGCCCCAGACAGCTGGAGCAGCTCTACTCCATTTCCCGGGAAGCCCCACTCTCTGGAGTTGCAGGTGGAGGTGGCACTAGATCCACACTGTAACTGGTGATGCAAAATGGAACTTTTAAAGCTACATTTTTTTCTTTTAGAGAGAAACAAATTTCCAAAACAAATTTTCCAAACTTCCTCCTGCTGAGCACATAGCCAAGCCCCCTTCTCTCCTCAGCCCCAAAGAGATGACAGAATGTGCAGATACTGGCTCCAGTAGGCAGGAGCCCAGGGTCCTTTTCCAGCAGAAAGTGAAGAAAGAGCTGAGGATGGATGGAAGCCATGAACAAGTGTGGAGACCTGCATTATCTCTGTGCCCTGCCCTGCTATAAAAGACCTTGCCCACTTGTACACAGGGGAGATAGTGATCTCAGGCAGATGGGCCCCTCCATCTCCTCAGAGCTAGCTTCGAAAAAAATCCATTTTTCCTTTTACCAAAATGTGTTTCCTCCTCTGATTTGGTCAAATAAATCTGGTGGTGTGAACCCAAGTGGCTAATAAGCGGGTGAAAG